ACAAATTTAAAATTTTCGGAACATTAGAAAATTTTCTTATCTCCTAACTTAATTAAACTAAACCATTCTTCACCATTCACACTTACTTATTATTATTATCATTATTATTATTATGATCTATCAGACAATTTAAATTAAAAATTTAATTCAAAATCTAACTTAGTATCTTTTAAAGTGACATTTAATCAAATTTTGACATTTCTATAATCAATTGAAATAATTATATTCTAATATCTACAATTAATCTACTGTCTGATAAATGTATCACTAATAGTAAAGACAGCCTCTGGCAAATACAGTATCAAACAATAAACTGTCCTTTATTTTCACATCAATAAAACCTTTATTACTCACATGAAAATGTCTGTTTTTCTAATTGGAACAAATCTCCTACTGATTGCATTTCTACCTTTTACAATCAAGCTGCAATTTGTACTGTCCTCTGGTCACCATACAATTCAACCAGTCCACTACTCCACCGTACAACGGACCGATACCACTTGTCTATTTGACGTCTCAATTATTACATTGTCACAAATTTTTTATAATTCGTTACAATTTAACTGAACATTTCGAATTTAGAATTTTAAAAGCCTTTGAAACTTGAAATTTGGTTCTCCGTTAGATATTTTTCTAAAAATTTCAAAAATCTCATTTTTTGTTACTCCGGATATTTCTGACTTTTTTAATTAATTTGACATCTCCCTTCAAATTTAAAAATTATCTACAGGATGATATCTTTTATTAAAAATTTTTTTATTTACACAAATACATATTTTACTGAATATCTTTGAATTTTAAATTTTGATGTTTTATTTCTATTACAGTTATTATATATATTTTTTTGTTCAAGAATATCTCGAGCAAATTGTCAAATTTTATATATAACTTCTACATCTGCAATGCATGACACATGTTAACTCTATATAAAATTATACGTTATTTTAGTCTCTGTGAAATTATTCATTTAATAGTTAAAGCATTTTATCTAAATCCTTTTCAAATTTCCCTTCAAATTTCCCTTTTCAATTAATTTTTCTACATCCATATTTGAAATTCACATTTCGCATTTAAATTCGTCCGAAAAAATAAACTGATTTGAAAGATCTCTTATTCTGACGACTTCATGCAGATTCTGACGAACAATTCGCTCGTAATATAACCACAACTATTTATTGCTGTGTATTTGATTTTTTCGTGCGTGTTCTGACGAGTTCATCCGAACGCCAGTTCGTCAGAACACGCATCCACTATAACCATAGCCTAGACGAGGAACTGCTTACCAAAATCATCACGGCAGCATGCAATACAATAATGCAAAAGAAAAAAATCGGCCGAAATAAAAAGCCCATCTACTGGTAGACAGAACAGGTAGTAGAGAAAAGGAAAATATGCTTACAAGCCAAAAGAGCCATGACTAGGGCAGATAAAAACAACAACTCAAACCTAAAGCAAGAGTGTACGGAAAGATACCGAGAAAATAGGACCATCCTTTATAAAGCTATCGCGGAATCTAAAAAGAATGCATGGATGAAACTGGTACAAGAAGTGGACCTGGATGTATGTGGTAAAGGGTATAAAATTGTCATAGACAAATACAAAGGAAACGCTTCGATAACCTTAGACGACAAACAACAAATAATAGTGGCACAGGAGTTATTCCCGACGCACCTGATCAGAAAGTGGGAAAGAATGCCAGTAAGGGAACAAGACATACCTTCCTTCACAAAGGACGAACTGCTAGAAGCCAGTAATAAGTTAAAGGAGAAGAAAGCTCCGAGCCCTGATGACATACCTGCAGAGGTGGTGAAGGCGGTAGTTAAAAACCACACAGGATACAATCTAGAGATTTTTAACAGATGTTGGCTGAAAGGAACGTTCCCTAAACAATGGAAAGTAGCAAAACTGGTACTTCTGGAAAAACATAAGAGATAACAAATGAACAGGACATATAGACCTATCTGTCTCCTTAATGTATTTGCAAAATTGATGGAGCATCTTCTCCTAGGAAAGCTGAAGAGGGAAATAGAAAGAAACGGTGAGTTGTCTAGTGAACAATATGGTTTCCGAGAGGGCAGATCAACCATGGACGCTATGGAAAAAGTTCAGCAAATAGCAGACGAAGCAAATGAGAGAGCAGGCAGAAAAAGGTATGCTCTCATTACAATAGATGTAAAAAATGCCTTTAATTCTGTCCCGTGGGATGGAATTCTAAAAGGAACTAAGAAACCGCAGTGTAAGCTCACAAACGTATAACTTAGTGGCCAGCTATCTAGAAGGTGGATCCTCATAGGGACAGAAGAAAAAATAACAAGGCTCTGTTATAGAACCAATGTTATGGAATGTAAACTATGATGGCATCCTAAAACTCCCGGTACCCACGCGAGGTGAAGCTAGTAGGCTACGCGGACGATGAAAGCAACGGCAAATGAGGTCCTAGAAAATATAACACAGTGGTTGACAGCAAAAAGACTAGCCCTAGCCCCACAAAAAACTGAGATGGTTATCTTAGCAGGAGGACGCACCGTCAAGGAAATCAATGTTAGGGTGCAAGACGTAACAGTAACGAGCCAAAAGGAAGTCAAATATCTTGGAGTATACTTTGACCATAACATGAGAATGGAACAACATGTCAAAAATGTGGTTAAAAAAGCGGAAAGGGCCGTAGCAAATATTAGCAGAATTCTACCCAACACTGGAGGACCACGAGAAGGAAACCAGAGAATTTTGTGCAGCGCAGCTATGTCCATAATACTTTATGGGGCAACGACATGGAAACGAGCAATAGAAAAATATATATAGGAACACTCTTCTAAAAGTTTAAAGAAAAGTAGCAATCAGAACTGTCTGCGCATACCGAACAACTTCAACGGGTGCATTATTGGTCATCGCCAGAACACCCGCTATCCATCTAGTAGTAAAAGAAAGTTGTGCTATGCGAAATGGCATAGATAAAAGAGTGGCTACTGACCACACAATTCAGAAATACCAACAAGAATGGCAACGAGAAACTTATAAAAGTCATTGGACGAAAAGGTTAATCCCCAATATTGAACCATGGACTACAAGAAATCATGGCGAGGTCTCATACTACCTTACACAGCTAATCTCCGGACACGGGTGTTTTCAAGCATACCGATATAGGTTCCACGTCACAGAGAGCAATGAATGTGATTACTACAGGGAAATAGACACAGTAGAGCACACAATCTTTGAATGCCAAAGATGGAGCAATGGATGGACGATGCTAGAAATCAAGATTGCGAATATAAATCCGGAAAATATAGTAAACAAAATTTTAGTAAACCAAAATAACTGGAATGATATAAGCCACTTCGCTACAGTAGTACTAAGCAAGAAAGAAGCCGATGTCAGACAGAGGGAGAGGAGATAGACATAACAACAGACACAGCGCCCATTCTACTGGAAGCAATGCCGAAAGGCAGTCCCTGGTAGACCACGGAAAGGCAGCGGAGGGGTTTTTGTCGGAGTTGCACCCGACACTAACAAACACATTGACCCAGTGTTTGGTGCCAAGCGGTTTCCCCTATACAGAAAAAAAACTATAATCATAGCCTTAGATTTCCCATTTTTGTATACAAGCCACAAAGAGGGTTGAAAAGTAAATCGATTTTGAGTAGAAAAAAAAAAAGAAATTTACGAGTGGTTCTTGGGACAACACTTATACATTCGGATCATTCAAGCCAATATTTTTTTTGGACTAGTGATGTTTTCATACATTCGATGGGCTTTTGTGGAAAAATCGGTTAAAATCTCGATTTTTTTTTACAAAATTGCGTCCTTATTTCTACTCTTTATCCACTTGCAACATTAGAGCCTTTGGTTTTCCGAAACCTAGTTCTATAAGTTAATCATTTAGGTGAACACGGCTTGCGTGAAAATACCTTTAATTTTTATTAAAGAAAATCGAATTTTCCATATTATGTTATCCCCAGAAGTCAATCTTAAATTGAACTTAAAATTACCCATATTTAAGACATGTTTCAAAACACTCTAACCAGTTGTATCACCTACATTCGTTAGCTTAGTTTAAATTAAAAACAAACCATTTTGAAATTAATCTAAATCTACCCAAATTATGATAATTTAATTTGGGGTCTGCATCATTGCCTAATTAAAAAAAAATTAATTGTTTGGCAACACTGTCATATTTTTTAAAAACATTCTAGAGTTTTCCCAAGCCATTCTAAAAATAAAATAAAATATAGGGTGTTTTATTTAAAAAAACATACATTTTTATTTGTTAGGCAAAAACGCAACACCCTGTATATCCAAAAATATTTTTAAAATATGTATTTTTCAAATCCTTATAACTTTTAATAAAACTTCTTTGCCTGTCAATAAAACAAATTGAAATATTGAACAATTGCGCACTAATGGGATCCGGTATATAAATTTTAATTTTCAATTTACATTAATATTATTATTTTAGATGACGACTTTTATTCTCAATAGCATATTTTAACAACATAAATTAAATTTCCTATTTTATTCAATAATTTGTAAATCCATATAACATTGTAGGAAGGCTATAATGATGGATGTTTAGCCGAAACTGTAAACGTCAAAATCGAAAACGCTCGCTGAATTATATTTATATAAAATTTTGAAAAAGTATTCGTCTTATTTTATAATGAGTTGTATATTCAAAAAAAATAACCCTGAATATTATTATTTTTTTCTAATTTGTAAGATTTTTTCGACTCTGTTTTAACCCAAATTCGGTCGTCAGCATTTCACGTCAACCCTGAACTGCCATAAAAACGGTTACCGCAAGTCAAGTTGCGAAAGAAAATCTATTCGGTGTGAATGTGCTTGACAACATTTTCCCGCTTAAGTGTTTTCCGAACGAGAAAACCAGAAAGGCGTTGAGGGGCGCCGATTGCGCAGATCAGTCACCCGAGGGGGTGGTATCGAGTTAATAAGTCTCTATATAAAGGAATAATTAAAAGTTGCTGTGGTATTTAGTTTTTCGTTCTTGTTTAGTATTGAGATATTAGCAAAAGGCTGTGAAGGTAAGCATTTAAAATATTTTTTTTTAAATAAATTTTTGAAAATTATATTTCTTAGGACATTGTGGTATTTTGGAATTGTAACATAAATACTTCTAAAACCTATATGATTTTTTAAATTTATTTATTTATATTATATTTTTTATTTTATTTAAATAATTATAATTATTTTTAAATTTAACAGATTCATTATATATTTCGGTTTATATTTCGGTTTCTACCATGAATGTTCCGATATTGTGTAAATATTTTTAATAATTAATATTTATTTAGGGAACTATCATACAAAATGACATTTTATGCATTAATATCTTCAAAATATAACTTTTTGGCTGCATTTACTTTGCGACCGCTTTTTATAAATACAAGTTTATCATATTATCTAGGGTAAGTACTACAAGAGGTGAGAATTTGTTAAGAAAATTTTTTTGTTGCTTCTTTGGAAATTTGCATAATTTGTAAGAAAACAACAAAAGGTTCTTAAAAAAAATTTTAATCTCGCATGGTATTTGCAAAGATTATTTTTTTATTTTTATTTTTTTACCTTTTTGGCTAAGGCCAATTTTTTGTTTTTTGCGTTTTTTTGGTGGTAACATATCAAGAACTTGGTAAATTCAATATTTTCACCACTTTTTTGACATGCTTAGGTTTTGCTTGCGTTTTTGCAATTTTGCACGGTTTTCCACTTTTTTGTGGGTTAAGTTTCTGACAGCGTTAATTGGGTGGTCTCACCGCCGCGCTGCCAGACATTTAGATATACAGGGTGTTTATTAATTGAGTGCCGATACTTAAGGGTGTGAATCCTTGGGTGATTTTAAGAAGAAAAGTTAATATCAACATATGTCGTAAATCTCTTAATTTTTGAGCTACAGGGTGTTACAGTTTTAAGAAAAAAATATATTTTTTTTCATAATTTTCTTATCACTGCAGATATTTCTATGAAATTCTGTAAACACCTTTTAATCATTAAGGAGCATTTTTTGACGTATAAGATTTTTTAAATTTTTACCAGTGACTTCCGTACGGGGTTTGAACTGAATATTTTTGAAGAAAAAATGGTACGCCACTGCTTTTTCTAAAATCCAAAATTATTTTTGAAATATTCATTTATTTTTGAGCAAATTTGGCTCATAGACTTGCTTTCGTACGATGCACTGTGTTAGCGTAAAAAAATAAAAACCAAAATTTTTTTTTTCTTAAGCTGCTTTTGATTTTTTGTTGAAATTTGGTAGGCACCCACCATGCGTGAAAACACTTATTTAGGGGCAAAAATTAATTTTCTACTTCCACCAGTGACGGCCACGTAGGCATCATATTGAATGTTTGGATAGAAAAAAAAAACGTACACCTCTGATTTTTTTAAATTCTATGTATTTTAAAAATCGGGATTTATTTATAGTAAAATGAAAATTCAAAATCTTGAATCTAAAATGAAATTACAAGAGAATACAAACAAAATAAAGAACCCAAATTATTTACAGTAATTGTTGGAAGTGTCCTCCACCCACACGTATGCAAGCATCTACTCTTCTTCGCATAGACTGACGCACATTTTCAAAGGTTCCTGGGGTGTTTCTTATGGTTTGGCAGCAGACTGTTATACGATTTCGTAACTCTTCTTCGGTTTGAATCGGCATTGCGTACACTAAGCTTTTCAGATGCCCCCAGAAAAAGAAGTCTAAACTATTAAGGTCGGGAGATCTAGGCGGCCATGACTGCGTTCCTCCGCGACCTATCCACCGATTGCGATAGGTGTGATTTAAAAATTCACGCACTCGTAAGCTAAAATGTGGGGGCGCACCATCGTGCATTAGCCACATCTGGTTTCTTAATAAAAGAGGAAGGTTTTCAAGCATTGGTGGCAGATCATCTTCAAAGAAGTGTAAATATGATTGTCCATCAAGTCTTCTTGGAAGAAAAAATGGGCCTATCAAATAATCATCAATAATGCCAGTCCAAACATTTAATGAGAACTGTTCTTGATGATTTGACTCAACAATTGCATCCGCCCATAAATGGTTATTATGGAAATTTATTATTGAGTTTCGAGAAAAATTAGCTTCATCGGTAAAAAGAATGTGCCTGTCAAATAATGGATTTTACAGCAGGTTTTGAAGAAACCACTCACAGAAATTAATGCGCAACGGGAAATCTCTAGGGAGTAATGCCTGGACTCTTTGAATGTGATATGGGTATAACAAATTTTCGATGAGAATTTTCCAAACAAGTACATGTGAAACATTAAATGTTGACGCGATTCTCCTCGTGCTAGTTTCGCAGTTCTCCTCAATTTCATGTAAAATTCCTTCTTCAAGTTCCGGTGTTCTTACTGTTTGATGGACTCCTTTAGCCCTGTGGTCTACTTTTAAAGTTCCGGTCTCGTGAAGACGTCTATGAATCCTAGAAAATGTTCTCGGATCGGGTAGTATGCGATTTGAATACCGCTCTTGGTATATCCGTCTGGCTTCGTATGCATTTCCGTCTGCAAGCCCATAACTAAAATGCATGTCAGCTAATTCACTGATCGTAAAATTTACCATTTTTTTTTCAGATTTTAACTCTTACTCTAATAATAATTATTTAATAAGGGAAAGAGGCTTATTGGAACTCGTTGTCAATCACTAATTTGCATAATTTTGTTAATCCGAAACCCGCGTAAGTATATCGAACAGACTGTAAAACTGCAGAGTGTGCAATGAAGCCTGGATCAAACTCACTACTGTATCTCAACGTTTTTAAAAAATCAATCTATGTCTAATGTTTACCCTAATGTAGGTATAGCTCCCTGCATTGCACTTTCCACTCCGGCAACAAATAGTTCTTGGGAAATGAGTTTTTCCTGTTTAAAACGCGAGAAAACTTATCAAAGGTCTTCATTGTCAAAGAAAAAATGAATTATTTAGTTCTTTTCTCATAGAAGCAGAGATCAGGGCCGCCGAGAGCCAGACCGGGCCCCAGGACAATTCTCTACATCGGGCCCCGCGACAATTTTATAAAACATTAAATAACAAAAGGTCATCAAACAAAAATTTCTCCTCCTTCTTTACGTACGCAAAAATGTCTCTTCTCCTCCACTTGAATTCTCCTCAAAAAAAAAATGACTTCCCTCCTCTTGTGTCAAATTTCTGAAAGAAACAAACACCACCGCTGCCGGGCCCTCTTTATACCGCTGCTGGGCCTCCATTTGAGCCCGGGCTCCGGGAATTGGTCCCGGCTACCCCTCCCTCTAGTCGGCCCTGGCAGAGATAATGAACACCATAAACTATGATGACATTATAGACGATTTTGCTATTAAAAAGTCCCGTAAAAATTATAATTCTTGTTTCTTTTTTAAGCTCTTTCTTAATGACTAATTAATTCGTTTATTTAACTTTAGTGCCTTCCTTACTACAAATGGAAAATTATTATTTTAGAAAGGCACATGGGGCGGTGGAAATAAAGTGGCCTACACTCATAAAAAATATAAATCCGGCACTGCTACTGTCCCAAAGACATATAAACAGGGAATCTTTTGTTGAACGAGAAGAATGTTCACCATTTTTAAATCGACACAAATTTGCCACTTATGGTTACTGTATTTTATTTTGTTCAAGACTAGCGAAATGTTACAATATTCTTCCTTTATTTTGTACTGTGGGCGATAGGTACCCCAGCGTATTTATTTCCATTATGAAATAGAATATATTTTAGGCTACGTTTTGAGCTGTCAATGAATAAACGCCAGTCGTTTGGTTCTTATTGTTCCAAGCCCATTTTTATTAACAAGTTTTTAATATCTGAACAAAAGGTAATACCGTTTTCTTCGAAAAAATAACGCCGAAATTCTTTAACTCTTTCACGATAAAAACTTATTTTAGTATCTGAAGAAACCAATTTTTTTCTTTCAGTCTTGATGCTTACAATTCTGATGCTTGTTTAGAAAGATTTATATCTCTTACAAGATCATCTAACTCATTTTGGGAAAAGCATTTTGGCTCATTTCAAAATCAGCATCATTTTGTGATGAGCTTGGTCCTTCAATGTTCAGATATATTTTTAGGCACAGAAGAGTTAGGCGAACGCTGCACTGGACGTTGAACATAATTAGTACTGGGTACTGCCATTTAGCTCGATTTTTAGTGTTTAAACCGTTTACGTTCACGATACAAAAATAACAGTCTTCGAGATGATTTCGTGGTTCTCGCCAAATAGTCGGTGTTTCAAATTTAAAGGCATTTCTTTTACCACTTTTCCATAATCTTAAATATTCCACACACGATTTACAAACACAATTGAGAGCCCAACGCATTTCAAAAAACAAAACTTTCATGCATGATGGAAGTTCCAAGGAAAACTTACGAAGGACCTTTCAAAGTCCTACGACGTTCAGGAAAAAGCTTCTTCATTGAAGAATATGGCAAAGAAAAGGCCATCTCTATAGACAGAGTTAAACCTGCTTACATAGATACACCTATCAGAGAAACTAAGAAACAGAACTTAAGGCTGTTCTAGTGGTACCAACCCATCAAAAAATTTCCCCCAAGCCCATTTTAAAATCCCCCTAAATTCCCCCAAAAACGTAATGAAATTTTTAATAGGTATGCTTTATTTTCAGTAATCATTTTTTGATTAGTTAATATAGTAGCATAGAATTTTAATCAAGTTATTTGAAATTCAGGGCATTGGGTAAATTATCCGGTTAGATACAGCCCAAAAAAAAGAAGAAGACTTAAAGAAATGTTCTACCGGTTAAACAATAAGTTTACTGACTAAACAAGATGCAAAAAAATTTGGAAAATCATTAGTCAACAAATGACACTATCAAGTTTAACGATCAAATCATAGAGTGCGATATTCTTCTTTTCAGGGATCGATTTCGTGAAGTAGTCATTTTGCCAAAAAATTATGTCCCTAAAAAATACCCCAAAAAAAGTTACCCCCTAAAAAATTATCTTTTCTTCCCCCTAAATTTAGGTGGAAAACCCCAAGTTGCATCACTGGGCTATTCTACCGCTTTCCGTTCG